ACACATACAAATAATTATATAATAGTATTCATTGATGTAGCATGAGGAGAAAAACCTGATCTGAGTTATTAAATGATAGAGTCCACTTTGAAAGGGGAATTCAAACTGTACAGTTGTAATTGTGTTTCATGTGGTAATACATAGCACTTCTTACAATCTCTGAGTTAGCTGCTAACATGGTCACTGGGATGGAATATGATGGATGAGATAAAATGTTTTGAATTTATAATTCAAAGTGTAAACAAATTCAAACTTATTACTCCATGTTAAGGAATATTAGGGCTGACATTTCTGTTATATTAAAACCATTCAAAAAGGAAATTTTTTCTGTTTCTGATTCTAACTCAAGAAATATTTTTCTCATGCTCTTCATTGCATCCTGATGGAAACCTCAAAGAGGTTTCATTTGCCATGGGCATTTTTATCTGTGTCAGTTGGGTACCCAGACAGTTGTGCTGGGTGAGGAGTTGTGCTGTTCCTGCGCTCACCTCTATTCGTCCCTCCTCGTCCCCGTGTGCTGAGCAGAGCTAACAGCTGGGTAGCCCTGTCCCGACAGGACAAACGTGGGGTTCCCACTCCTTTTCCTTTGATTTTATTACTGTCTAATGGAAATATACTAAGGTTGGCAAAGTCCTTTATGATACTTAGATACTGATTTATGCAAAGAGTTAATGAAGGAAATTAACGAATGAAGGAAATGTGTGTTCTGAACAAACAAGCCGCCCTTGGCTCCAGAGAACTGGCTCTTTTTTACGTTTGCTGGGTTTTCCATCAAACAGGATGGAATCACAAAGCAATTGGGAAGGGGACCAGCGAGAAGGACTGTGGGGTGTTTAACTCAGGGCACATGAAACAATCAAACTATCAGATGTGTTTTATAAGAAAATTCTAGGGAATGAGAGTGATTCCATTTTGAAGACTGAAAACTGGCATTGCTCTCCCACAACTTTAGAAGCAACAGAGTTGAAGGTAATTTTTCCTTTTCAAATATGGGAGTATAAGTTGAGAGTACAGTCTGCTATGCTATGGCAGTCTTCAGCTGAGAGGTAGTTCTTGGGGTAGTTAATTTTCACTGATCTCACATTAAGGAAACAATCAACTCAGTTACTGAGCCCTAGGTCTATGAGACATTCCCAAAAATTTCCTTAAGCCTGCACCTGAACTGTTTCTGACTAAACAGAAACTTGGCACATCACGGGCTTTGACCTCGGAACCAGTATAAAGAATGTACTAGATTGTCTCTTTTTCTATGTATGCACGTCCCATCAAACCACTTCACAGATATCATTGTCTGTAGTAATTATAAAAGTGCTGTCCTCAAATGATGGGCTGCTTATTCACTTCACAATAAGTCTCGTCATTTCTACCTTCAAACTTTGTCATAAATTGGATCATTTTGTGTTGGAGAAATTACTAGTGACAAATTTGACATATAATACAATTGTTGAATCTGTCTTCCAAAAGTGAGCTCAAGTTGCTTGGATATTATTCATATATATTTGTAAATTGATTGAATTATTTTTCTTCAGAGGTTGTTTGTTTACACTTATTTATAATGAATTCCCTTCCACCCATATGTCACCTGAAAGGAACCTCAAAATAAGTGCTTTCTGCGACTTTGAGATCCTTTTGTAATGCCAGAGTGGTGAATGGAGGCCTTAAGGTAAATGACAAAAAAGTGCTACCTCTATTTGCTGTTCATCATTCACTATTTCTTATTTGTATTGTGTGACTTGTCAAAGCATTGTTTCTTTTTGATGAATGAGGAATTAGAAGGTTTGAAGCAGGAGAATAACAAAAGTGTTGAGTAAATAAAGCACTTCTCTTTTGTCACTCACCCTAAACAGGAGGTGGAAATTGGCATGTTCAAAGTAAGTGCTAAACCAGAAAGAAGCAGCAGGGTAGCCCATACAACAAAGCAGAAATTGAGACATACTTTACATCAACTCCTGAAAGACAAGTGATGAGGAAAGCTGTGCCCAACACTTGGGATAAATGAGAGACAGAACTGAAGTAATCAGGAATGAATGAGTCCCATAATTACTATGGTTAACAATCCATTCTGTTCTCTTTCTCCCTTGGTCATACATTTTAAGTGAAAAGCTGGAAATCTGGAACCAGAGGAGACAGAGTTTTACCCTGTACTGGAAGAAAAGAAGATTCATTCTCATTCCTTGCCCCTATTGGAATGAAAATGGATCCTTAACACTGCACTGATGACAAGAGTACTGAAGAGTGAAAATTTGAATAGCTCTACTGCTTTCATTATAGCAAGAATAAGACTTTTTTGTCTTCTGCTGGAAAAAAGTCCTGAAGTAGAACTCGAAACAAAAAACCAAAAGCTTAAACCTCAAATTGCCTCTTTCTGCTAAAACATCTTACGAGTATTTGCCATTTGTAAAACAAAAAGACATCAAAAAGATCTCTAACAAAAATAAATTAACAATGACTTCAAACATAAAAAAATTTTCTTTTTTTCACTTTTCCAGGAAAGTCATTTCAGGTTTAAGTTGTACCCAAAAGGCTTGCAATTTTATCAATAGGAGAGGAAGCTATACTGAAGAGATAAAATTTTCATCCATTCTGTACCTCTATATAATGGATTTATTTATAGAACTTTTATGAGAGAATAACACAGTCTATATCACAACAGTCATAGTTTCATAATAGACATAAGGCCTTCAAAAATCATAGTACTCCAGAGTTCTTGGAAGATAACAATGACTATCACTACTCTTCACTTTAGAGGACTTGTTAACTTTTTGTCTCATTCTTTTTTGGCTGTTATCTCAAAGGAGATCAAAATACTTTTGGAACTCATGATGCATAGCAACATTTCTGATAAACACAGTTTCCTTAGAACACCCATACATAGGTTTCAAGTGATAAATAATAAATTACCTGCCTCAGCAAAATACCTAAAAAAGTGGTTTTCTTCAGTGGATTTAAATAAGAAGAAAATGGAATTTTCCGGTTGTAGTCTGAAGCAGTTCTGTCTAAACTGTAACAAAATCTCCACAGTCATGCAACCGTACTATTTTATTTTGTGCTAAAATCATAGTAAGTTCAACACTCTTTAAGCACAAACATCTACTGATACCTTCCTCAAAATATCTGAGAGGATTGCTTTACCTCTTTGATCCCACATTTGCGATATGATTTCCATTTAAAACGCTACAATGTAATCAGCTCACTCTCCCCACACCAGTCCTGTAAAAAAAACCCCAAAAAACAGATGAAGATACAGAGATAAAGTTGTCACCCTCAGACCTTGTTCTACATTGGTGTCAAAATATTTTTGTAGCAATCAAAGCAAAATCAGACTTTCTTTTCAGTTACAGAATGAGTTTTTTTATGTCCTTATTAATGCAATGTTCCCTTTATTTCACATCCTGAGCTCATGACTCACTACCAGTTGGGAGTTTCATCTCTGCAGCTGTGCTTGCATTAGTTTTATCTTCTAAGATGATCTAGCTGAGGTAACAACTCTTTGATTTAGAACCTCTATATTAGAAGAAAGAGTATACTGATGGTCTCAAATGTAGTTCTTCATCTCCCCTTCATAATTGCCAGTGTTCTAGGGTCTGCAGAAATTCATCCAAACAGTGTTCTACACTGGTGTTTTAGTGTATGAACACTCAGCTACTTTAGCATTTGCAATTCAATCTAGGTCTCTCCCACCCCATGAAATGCACCAGGCTGGGGGAAGAGGGGCTGGAAACCGGCAAGGAGCCAATGGCATGCCAGCTTCTGTCAGAACCAGTGAGGCCAGCAGGAGCAGAGCAGGGATTGTCCTCTCCCACAGGGCAGCACTGAGGCTGTACCTCAAATCCTGCATTCACTTTTGGTCCCCGTCCAATAAAAAAGACATGGAGGTGCTTGAGTGTGTGCACAGAAGGGAAATGGAGCTGGGGAATGGTCGGGAGCACAGCTCCGATGAAGAAGGGTTGATGGAGGTGGGAGTGTTCAGCACAGAGAAAAAGCCATTCTGGGGGGACCCTGTAGTTCTCTAGAGCTCCCTGAAGGGAGGTTGCAGGCAGGTCAGAGTCATTATATTCTCCCAGGAAACCAGCAATAGGAGCAGAAGAAATTATCACAAGTTGCACCACAGGAGCTTTCGATTGGATGTCCAGGAAATATTCTTTGTAGAAAAGGGATAGCAAGCTTGGGAAGAGGCTGCCCAGGGAAATGGCTGAGTCAGCACTCTCAGAGGGATTTCAAAGTCATGTGGATGTGGCACTGGGGCACCTGGCTGATTGGTGCAGTAGGCAGTGTTAAGTGTCGTTTGGACTGTGTGATCGTCAGGGTCTTTTCCAAACGGAGTGACTGGGAGATTTAACTGCAGATCAGTGTGGAGTCAAGGCTTAAATTCAATGATCCTCAAGGGGCCCTTCCAAAATGGATATTGATGAGATTGCCTATGCAGGGCAGCTGATAAGAAAGACCAAAAGAAGACCAAGGGAAGTTCTTTGATGAAGATTCACTCAACATCTGCCTTAGCAAATATACCAGGGCCCCTCTGACTGGCTGAGCTGGGTTCGGGAAAAAGGGTGGAGTTTGCCTTGTTGTAGTCTACTGTGACATGTGTGACATCATGGGGAACATGTCACAGTGGGGGCAGCTCTAAAAGGCCCCAGCAGGTAACACTGGCCCTGTGTTGCTCGGGCAAGTGGTGAATGCACATGTGGTGGGGAGGTCAGGCTGGGTTCAAGGGCCGGGGCAGAAATGTAGCTCCAGGGGCTGGCTTCTCCCCCTGCATACAGGGACAGCCCCTGATGAGACAGCCTTGGGCAGGGCACCGTGCTGCTGCTGCTGCTGCTGCTGCGGCTGCTGCTGCTGCTGCTTCTGGGGCAGTGGGACAGGCGTCGCTGCTTGCCCACTGTGTGGGGCCCTGTTCTTCCTGCCCCCAGAGCCCTGGCATTGCTGTCCCTGCTGTCGCCAGTGGCAGCTGCGTCCCTCCCAGCGCCACTCAAGGCCTTCTCTCCATCCTCCTGCAGACCATGGATACCTGGGTCTTGTGGTTCTTGCTCTTGCAAAGTGTAGTCCAGTACCCACAGCGTGTGGGGGATGGCTTGGACGAGGTGACACATCTGAGAATGGAGGCGAGTGCCAAGCTGCAGGAAGAGGAGAAGATTCGTCTGGAGCTGGAGGTGGAACAGCTGGCCCTGAAGCAGGATGTCTGGGCCTGGGGAGACCTGCTCTGCTCTGCCTTGCAGCTCTGGCAGCTCTGGGCTGGTGCTGGGCTCCTGCTGCTTCTCTTGGCCCTGTGTTATGGGTGCAGGAAAAGGAGCTCAAGGAGAGCGGAGCATCAAGAAGCAAATGATGGTGCAAATGGAGAGATCAGAAATGTGGATGCAAATGAAGAAGGTGCTGTAAATGAAGAAGTTGATGTTGGAAATGAAGGAGAAGAAGGTGAAGACAACGGTGTGAATGGGGAGGAAAACAACAATGACGCTGGCAATGCCCAGGAAGTTGACAACGTTGCAGCAAACGAAGAAGGTGATGTTGGCAACGAGGTTGGCAATGAGGTTGCAATTGCAGCAAACAACAATGATGTTGGAAATGAAGTTAACTTCCATGATCACGCTGATAACATTGGAAGAATTGTAATACAGCGCATCCAGTGGCCTGTGCAGGACCTGCAGAGAGGGTGTGACTGGACAAATCTCCTCATGGAAAATTATGCATTTTACTTTCAACGTGTCTTGTCCGACAGCTTCTATCCAGTCCTGAAACGAGCCATTGGGGTGGGCAGTGCCTTTGAAGGTTGGAGTCCCCGTGAGCAGGACGTTGTGTACCAGGTGCTGGTACCCATGACTCCTCCTCGAGGGCACAGCTTCCACCTGGAGCTGGAGAGTGCAGGGCAGATGCACGTCAGGAACTTCCGCATCCGCGTGCAGCAGGAGTGCACCTGCGGCACAGGGCGGCGGGGTAAGAACAGGCTGTGCTTCCTGCACCACCCCAAGGAGGAGCTGAGGAGCAAGCAGGATCCCAGCCTTGTTGACACGCTGTGCACCGACTCCTACCTGGACGTGCACAAAACTGCCCGCTGGTTCTACCAGCTGGTGAGAGCAATCTGGCCAGCTTTGCCTCAGTCCCACAACTGGCACTTAATGCCGCTGCCCTCCAGACGCTCCTGCCAATTCAAGGTGACCAAAGGCACAGAAAGCTTCCACATTGAGATCCTCTTTGGGGTGCGGCAAGGCGACTCAGACGTCTTTGTAAGCAGCCAGCCTAGGGAAGCCTACACGTCAAGGACAGTCTGGCCGGAGACCTACGCCGTGGCAGAGATGAAGTTCTTCAAGTACATTGCCAGGCGGGCCCCTCGTGACAGCTTGCACCTCAAATGCCTGCAGTTCTTCATCCGCCTGCAGCTGGGCTTAGGCTTTTCCACCTATGCCACCAAGACCATTTTCATGCACCTCCTGAGCATCATACCTGCGCATGAGTGGCGCAGGAGACATTTTGTGAGGCGGCTGCTGGACATCAGCGAGAGCCTGCGCACATGTGTGCAAGCGAGATGCCTCAGTCACTTCATTGTGGGCAACCGGAGGCTTCCTTTGGAGATCCGTTTGCCCCCAGATGTCCTCATGGCCAGCCCATGCAATCTCTTCCATGACCTGGAGATGGATCCCGTTGCCCACTCCCAGGCCATGAGTCAGTACGTGGATCTGCACCGGTGGCTCAAACGGATCCTTAACAATGAGCAGTGAGAGAGGCTCCCGTGAATAGACCTGCGCTTGTGGGTCTCACACTTGGCAACCGAGAACAACCTGCCAGTGCATGGGAGAAGAGGGCAGAATGTGGGATCCAGAGAGGGAAGGACAAACACTGGCTAGCAGCACTGTGCCAGCAGCAGCAGCAGCTGCAGGCTTGTGTCAACTGTCTCCCCAGCACTGCATCCAGAGATGACCACGTTGGCTACAAAGACTGAGGAGCACGCAAAAATAAGTACTGTTATTCCTTTTCCTGCTCTCTGCGCTCTGTGTGGTGAATCTACAGCCCTGGGAGAAATTGACACAGAGCTGAGTGTGCAGGACACACAGAAGGCACCGCTCAATCGGCTGTGGCAATTGCTGCCACACCTTTCCTCTGGACCCAAATGCACCCAGGGAGTCCAAGCTGATGGAGCTGAAGAAGCCATGGCCAGGGAATGAGTGAGAGAGAGTGCCATTACCAGCAGGACTGTGGCTGCCCCCTCTCTTTCTTAGAGTCCATTTTCCCTCACTGAGCTTCACCGGGTGCAAAGCTGCAGATGGCAAAATCCCAGAGGAGGGAATGTTTGAAAGGACTGGTGTTGGGATCATGTGGTCCAGGGCTGCTCCAGCAGCGTCTTCCTGCTGTGCATTGCAAGGGGTTGTGTTCAGATGGTTCCTCACTCTCTCTCCGGTGAGGGAGAGTCCACAATCTCTGGGCAGTGCCCGGGATCATTCATCGGACAGTGTTTCTGCTTGTCCCCAGAAGGGAAACGTTTAGGTCAGCATTGTACCAACGGTGTTGGAGCTGACCTGAAAGTTTTATAGATAAGAATCTTGATTTTTGTTTCCTAGATATGTATATCTAGTGTATTGATAAGATATGCCCTAAGCTTTCTCCCTGATTATATGGAAGAGTTAAATAGAATAAAACAAAACAATATACTAACATAATATCAAGGATACAAAATAAGAAATTATTATATCATAATACAAATTGATTATAAAGAGTCATACTCGTAGTCAGTTTTAAATAATTCAAAGTAGTGTATATTTCATATCTCTATCAACCGTGAGCCATATTAATGTTCTTAGTGCATTTATATCTCGAAATATTTTCATAAAATAGCTGCTTTGCTCGTAGTTCAATAAAGTACAATATTCCAAAATCTGGATTGTGCAGAACTTGATTGATCTCAGCCAGACCTATGGTGTTGGTAAATCTGACAAGTTGTGAGTCTGAGCTTGTGCACGGTGTCCTTGAAGTCAGCCCAAGGTTCCAGGGCTGAAGGGGTTCTAATCAGAAATTCGGCCCAGCTGCCCCCAGCCCCTGGGATCAAAGAGCGGGGCTTGGAAGGGTCCTTAAAAATCATCTTGTTCCAGCCCTGCTGCCCAGGACAGGGACAGCTTCCACTAGGCCCGGTTGCTCCAAGCCCCGTTCAACCTGGCCCCTGTGATCACTGCCAGGGCTGGGGCAGCGAGGGCCAGGGCCTCAGCGGCCTCAGAGCCAAGAATTTCTTCCACATCTGCAGCCTGAGGCCACCCTGTGTCAGTGCGAAGCCACTGGGCCTGGTGCTGTCCCTGCAGGCCCTTGTACACAGCCCCTGGGCAGGCCTGTGCTGGGCCCGTGCAGGGACTGAAAGGCTGTGGGAAGGTGCCCCCTCAGAAGGCCTTGGAGAGCCCTGGGCCCAGCAGTGGCACCATGAGGGCAGCAAGCAGGGGCTGGCGTGGCCGTCGGGGCGGGAGGGCACAGGGCGGGCGCTGAGGCCGTGCCAGCTGCAGCTGGGGGCTCTGGAGTGCGGCGGGCAGAGAGAGAGCCGGGGGAGACGGGTGCAGCAGCGAGGCCACGCGCTTCTTGATGTGTTAGAGACCAGAGAAGAGCTTGAGAATGGTCCCTGCAGGAGCGGGGTGTCTCCAAAAGTTCAAGCACAACAGAAGAAGCCCAGCACACATTGACCTAGCAGCCGTTTTGCCACGTGCCTTCATTTGTCTTGGATCTCCTAGGGAATTGAGGCTTTGCCCAAAGTGGGACCTTGCTGAAGACAAAGGCTGAGGAAGGGCCCTCACTTGTGCTGCTAGTGCCATGGAAAGCCCCAGAAGGAGAGGGCGTTTCTTGGGTGCAGGGATCCCATCTTCAGAGTCTGGCCTTCAGGTTAGCAAAATCCTCACGGACATGCTGGCACATGGGCACAATCACACACTTCAAAAAGAGTGAGTTGAGGCCTGTGTGTGCATAGCAAGTGCCTTTCTGCAATGAAAGAGAGCTTTAGAGCTTGTGTCTGTCACAGCAAGTTTTTGGACAAGTCTCTATACAGCTGTTCAATTCACTTTCAGTATTCTGATGAAAATAGATCTAAGAAATTTGGGATCCCAAGCATTATTAAAAGTATGCAAAAAAATGAGAGCTATTCACATGCAAAAATGCTCACAGGAGATTCCAAGACAATGAACAATGGACAGGTTCCTCACCCCACCATGCTTCATTCTACTAAAAGGAGATGTCTCTCCTTTCTGGAAGAGAAAGTCCCCTTTCCCCGTCCCTGGCAATGATGTAACAGGGTATCATAGTGTCATGGCCATGCCCTTCCCACTGATGTGAGTCAGAACCATGACACCCTCCTTCTTCTTTCTTAGCTTTTATTGCTGACCAGATGTCATGTGATATGGCATATTCTTTTGGTCAGGTTAGGTCAGCTGCCCAGGCTATGTCCCTTCTCAAGACCTTGCCAAGCCTCAGCTGCTGATGGGGGAGGAATGCTGGTGAGGCAGCACTGATGCTATGCCAGCACTGCTCAGTGGCACCCAAAACAATGCTGTGTTATCAATACTTTCCTAGCAAAGCATAGCACTGTGAGGGTTGCTATGGGGAAAATAAATTCCATTTCAGCCAGAATCTATACATTGATTCAGGAGGATCATTGAGTGGCAAAAAATTCTAATACTGAAAAAATCCCAAAACCATAGTGAGGAGTTAAAGAACCACCCACACATACACACATACATTCGTGGAAAACCAACTCGGAATAAATAGCTTTTGTGATAGAGCTACAATAAAATAACATTTGAGACTTTCAGCTTTTTTTAAGTCATTTTATTGAAACTGGATCAGAAGGATGGGGTATTAAAATTTTTCTGTGTAAACAGTTGTTCTCTATTGTTTATACAAACCACAATGAATGTCAGAAATCAGTCTGAAAAATGAGTAAAACTCATTTCAGAAGGAAATGCAACTGACATATAGACCTGTGGTATAAGGTCAAGAGAACTATTGTTTGTTGCCTCCAGACTAAAGAAAATCCCTAGTTCCAGCTGAATAAGTGGTCAGACTTCTGCTTAGTGTTCTTGTGCTGAAATGAACTAATCACACATGTATAGGTGAAGAAGTGGCAATACAATAACAAAGAACATATACCCATCAAATGAAACAAAAGTATTTGGGCAATATTTATGCAAAATATCTATTTCTAGAAAAATAATTGTTTTTGTAACTGAAATTCCAGCTCTGAAGAATAAAGATTTCATCTTTTCAAACTTTCACGAGTAGCTGATCAGTACCTACTTAGGCTAGGTTTGCTGACAAATCCTTTTAGAGTTAAATTTATTTGCTATTTCTATAAAGGTCTACTTGACCTGCACACAAGATAGAGCAGGAGGTAGATGTATGCATGTAAATACATGCTAAAGAATCTCTTTCCAGTGAGAATTACAGCCCATATGGTAAAGAAACTTGGTGTTCTTTGCTAAAACCATTATTTAGAAAGGAATAATTGGCACTTGTTATAAAAGCATGGTCTGAATGTGCTGAAAAAGATGTAAACACAGGCAGGAGTTTTGTGAGTTTTCCACATTTGCTCTAAAATGCTTTTGAGCTGCTCTGAAAAGTATTTTAGTCTCCTTCCTTGGCCTGTCTTCTGAGAGTGCCAGTCGGGGCACCAATTAGTGCCTTTTTGGCAGTGTTTTCATGTGACTTGCACACTTCTCTAGAAGGCTTGGTGCTAAGATGGAAGAAATAGGTTTAATAAGGATAGAGACAGAAGCTGAATGGAATGCAAGCGCCTTCTTTTAAATGTCAGCAGCTCAGCTAGTGTTGACCCACATGGATATCTAGGGTAAGCACCTGTCACGGTTGTTACTACCCTACAGCTAATTACCAAAGCTTAGATTTCTATTTTTTCAGGTTCTAGATTACAAACATTGCTTTTCATTTACCCACGCATATTCTCCTTTCAGCACTGTAAATCTACTTCTATGCCAAATAGTGCAAAACACAGTTAAAAACAGTGTGAGGAACACCCTTCCTTTTATCTGACTTCATTTACTTCCCACCTCTAAATTTAATCTTTCTCCTGAAAGAGGACAGGAGGATGATTTTTGCTGAAATTGAATTCAGTGTCTCCTTCATTTCACAATTTAATTACTACTCACATGATTTAATAGAGACAGGATGCATAAAACTGATTTATTACATTATTATTCTGTTGTGATTATAAAAGATGTGGGTATATTCCTGAAAATTTAAGGTAAGCGTGGATATCACCTCCTTTACTGAGTGTGACAAACACAGAGATTTTGTTTCAACAGTGAAATGCTGCTCCATGATTGTATTTCCTAGCCTAGTGTTTTACCCAGCCTGTGATATTTTGCCATCATATTTCCATCCTATTATTTGCAGCACAGTATTCATGGAGTTAAAGCCAATACAAGACCTGCACATTAAACGATTAACTCTTGATGAAAGCATAATGCAACAAATTAATAAAAGTATAGGGGTACCATGCCAAGATGTTGGTGGTCTCAGTCAAGTTGCTGATACGTGAGTTTCCACATTAAATAACACCACCAGCCACCACACTGTTACAAACCCTATCTGAGATGAAAGAGATTTAATAAATGTGGGGGAAGTTACCCTGAGAGTAGGATAAAACACTATTTTCAAGGAATTAGAGGGGAGAATTCTCCACTACTGTTGTTATTATGTAAATATAGACAGGGCTGGAATCTGTAGGACAGTCAGCTTG